TTAAAACATAACCCACAACAAAAAATATAACAACATGTGTCATTTAAAAAGACACATGATTTTATAAGAATCTGAAAATGTTTTTAACCATATTTTAATTATTTTGGCTATATAAACGGGATTATTCCGAAACTTATCGTGTTAATAAATACAAAACATAATTGGTAATTCCAAGACACATAAAAACACTTGAATATATAGCCCGACTGACTATAACTTAATAATTGGTTTTATACGAAGAATAAATAATAACAATAACTTAATTTATAACATAAAACATGATAAAACATCATTTTGTGCTGATCACTTGATTAACAAAAATATTTTGAATAGTCACAATGGTTGAGAGAAAATACAAAAATAAATAAAATATCATTGCTCATTTATTATAAATATTAATAAATTTATTAAAATAAAATAATAAACAATATTAAAAATATCAATCAAAAAGTGAACAAGAGATTCAGAACATAACAAATAAAAAAACAATTTCCATTTTCAACAACACTGAATATAAAAATTGTTCAAGTGAATGAAGAAACTGACTTTTTGATATCAATTAAGAGTGCAGTATATGATGGCTTCAAGTTATTGTAGCTTTAAAAAAATACTTGAAAAAACAAAAATGAAACAATTAAAGATTTAACGTTGGTAAGGTCAACTGAAATTAACATTTATTTGGCATGTTGTATTCAATTTAGATAACATTTAATATAATGTAATTGACTACTCTTTGTGTTTTATTCAATAAAATTTACTTTTTTATTAAAATTGTGTTTTATTTTTGTTTGTTTTTGGTTATTGTTGTGTTGTTGTGTGTTGTTGTTTGTTTTGTTTTAAAGTCCAATAATTATCAAATATTGTTCATTAAGTTATAATATATTATATGTTTACCATTAAATAATAAAATAAACCCATAATTTATGTTTAAAATATATAATCAATTCAAAAGTTAATAACATTTCAATGGTGTAATTGATTTGTTCTTAAAATGGGTTTGGTTTGGATCTTTTTTCAATAAGTTATAAGTTATAATATAATTACAATTCAGAATAAAAAATTATAAAATTAATTTGTTTAAATTTTGATTTAATAATAATAGTACAGTGTTAATAACTCATTAAATGTTTAATTATAATAAACCATTCATACAAGTATAAGTTTTATATTCTATTTGTTTTCGAACATCTTATTTCCAATAAGATGTTTTAAACCTTTTTCGGTTTTATTTTCAAAATGAATCATATTATTATAATAAAATGTATTAAATTTTGATATATTTTGTTTATTAAATTGAACGAATATCCCAAAAAAAAGAATTTAATATGAATATAAAAAAATTTTCCCGAATATATGCATGCAAGCATGGTTAATCAAAAGCCTGTTTACTAAATAGTCCAGTCCCAAAACTGCAGATTATTTTTGGATTAAACTGATTTTTTTGATCAAAATTATATTGTTTTTTGTAATTTTTGCAACAAACATTTTTAGGAACACAAAAGAAGCAAAACCATTTGAAATCCAATTGTTGAAGAAAAATATTAATATTTGCCGAATATACCGTTGTAATTCAGCAGATAATTGAAATATGATAAACGTAAAATAACGGGGTTTTATCTTTAAAAAAATTATTACTTCTTTTAAATAATTTAACTATTTTATAAAAAAATCTTTAACTGAATAAAAACAATAATTAATCATTCAAAAAAACTCTTTTTTTGAATAATTTTGGAAAGATAATTAACCCTAGTGTTTGTTTATTGAGTTCAAAAATCAAAAAATAAACAATTGTTAATTTTGTTAATAAAAATATTAAAAACAAATATTGTTTTATTACTAATAATGTATAGTTTAAAACAACAAAGTTTAAACTATTTTTTTATTGTTTGATGAAAAATTGATAATAATTAATATGATTATATTAAATATTTATTTAATGTAATATATATATATATATAATTAAAAAAATAATTTATATTTTTTATATCATATTAAAATAAAAAATATGTTTAATTAAATATTTTTTTTAAAAAACAAATCAAAATAAATAATATCGCTTTTCTTAAACGAGTATAAAGTAATGACAATTAAATTGCAAAAACAACCAAATGCGACATATAATACATTCACTTTGTCTTAAATAAAAGCGCGTCATTTCTTGTCTCAGCCAAGTATTTATCAGACTGAAAAAATATAGAACACTTATATAAGCAATCATGATGTTCGACATCTGGAGCGAACCATTTATTAAATCGGTCAAAATTATTTCAATTGCAAACAAACTGTCGTCTCATTGTCTTTGTTGTTGTTACAGAGACGATGCATTTATGTAATAAATTAAGCTATGCAACGAAAAGTATTTGAATGGGCAAATTTTTAATTGAACAAATGCTGTGCACCACAGAGAAAACACAAACTCTGTTGATGTAGACGCTGAATTATAAAAATTTCTTTCCGCACTTTGCTAAAAACCTGAAGTGTCTTAAACATACATTGACATAATGTAGTCATTTTGATGAGTTGATAATGAGCTAAAGTGCCAAAACGTTTGCAAGATTTACTTATTGGTTAACGACAACATACTTTTTAACAAAGTCAACACGCTTTAAAATCAGGATCTACACTCTCTGCAAAATTTAAAACAACATATAGTTTTTTTACTAGTAATTAATCTAATAATTTGTTTCATTTTCTTTTTTAGATTAAAAAACAACTAAAAAACTTAAATGATAATTGCTATTACATTATCACTCATGATAATACTTACCGTATTGATCATTGTCCTTGTCTTCTTGGGTTCCACCAAAAGGCCAGAAGATTGAATGCTGAAGAAGAAAGGACAACCACATCCACAACTGCCGAAATCGAAAGAGGAAATTTGAGATGGCAAAGTCTGCGTTTCAAAAAGACTTTATTAGTCAGTCCCACATTTAAACAAAATAATCACAAATTATTTGAAAATATATATAACTGCGTGCTGTGCAACAAACTTGTTACCAAAAGAGACCATTCAACACACGTTTTTGATGTTCACGCGTTCAATGTTGCATCACAAAAAACATCTGTTGAAACTCTTTGGTCTCAAAAACACGAAATGCTGAATAAGCTTGCACTGTGGGCTCTTTACGATTCAAGACTTACACCTCACAAAAAAATTTGCGAAGAACTTAACATCAACGAAGTGAGTCTTTCCTTCGTTGTTGAAGACTTTGATTTGTTTGGCTCTTGGGTGGCGTCGATACAAGAGATTGTCTTAAAAGAAATTGGAGGGTTATCAGAAAGGTACGAGGAGAGTGCATTAAACAACTTGGATTATGTGGTTTTCGGCGAAGAAGCAAACTACGTCGACGTTGTTGATGATAAATATGATGATGACAAAATGATATCAGAAGACGAAGTTACTTCAATGGACGATTTAATAAACTGTGAAGACATCTCTGATTCCATCCATAATGCCACACAACCTGAAGAAATTGATTTAAAATGCAAGAGCCCAAAAGAACTCAAACTGATCAAAATGGTAAAGTTGTTGAAATCCAACTTCGAAAAAGGAAATCAGTATGTCAAGGAACAAATTGTCCACTCAATTGAAGCCCACATCAACTCTGAGATAACATCCAATGGAAAAGAACTAACAAGAGGTCAGAGGGATGCCGAATTGGGTGAATTTATTGTATTATATCTTTCTTTTATGAGCGCAGGGAGTGGGCTGTTTCAAACGCAAATAGAAGATGTGGTGGGTTTCCTCAATTTCTTTATTGATGCTACAAAAATAAATATAAAACCATTCAAACTCTCTCTAAGTGCATCCACTATTAAAAGGCGAATTTCGTTGATAGCAGATGTAAAGAAAGACGAAACTAAAAAAGTTTCTCCAAAAAGCAAAGTATGTGGGTCTTATGGCTGATGGCGCAAAATACGGCTCCAGTGAGCACTTCAGTCTGTTTTCAATGTCAGTAAGTGAAAACAACGAGGTGAATGAGTCTAAACTGAAAATCGAAAAATTTATAGGGAAGCCATCATCCGAAAATTGGTTAAAGTGGATAGTTTCTGTTGGCGAGGAATTTGAATTTGACTTCAAAAAATGTTCTTCTGTCACGTTTGACGGGGCAAGCACAATGATCAGTGAAGAAGGAGGACTTTCTGGTAAAATAACAAATTGGCTCAGTACAAAAGGCTTTCTGGTAGATCTATTTCAATCCAATTACTGTTTAGCCATAGGCTAAGTAAAGCTGTCGAGAAAATAAACGAAATTGTAGAGGTTGCAATAATCAAGAAATATCTGTACAAATTAACAACCAACAACGTTAGAACACTCTGGGAGCGGTTTTGTTCACAAAGGGGAAAAAAGTTGCTCTAAACATCCCGCATTATTCTAATACAAGATTCCTTTATATCGCAACAATATCAAATATGTTATTCTGAAATGAAAAAATTCAACTCCAGAGTGCCAAATATACAACGAATTGAGTTGAGCCGAAGTGAAAAAGAGTCAATTTTAAAAAAATACTTTGGAAAGGTTTCTCCCAACTTGAGTGAATCATTGTTAAATGTAAAGTTGAAATCGATCGAGACAATCACTTTCACATCGACGCTTGAAGATGAGAATTTTGTTGCCATTTTGTATTTTGTTGATTATATAATCACCAAAGTCAAAGTTGTCAGTGACTGGCTTCAAAAGCGCAACCTTTCCTTTTCTATCGCATACAAACGAATGATCGATCTCATCATTTTTCTCATCGATTTCAAAACACAAATTAATGATTCTGAAGATAATGCACTTTTTTCACTTCCATTCTTGAATTGTGTTAGTCTTTCCGAAAGGTCTGGTATGCGTCAAGTGTGTTACTCTATCGTGAACAGATTGGTCCAGGCTCTTTCGGTACGCTTCTCAAATCCAACAGGAAAAATCAAAGAAGAATATTTGAAGTTAAACGGGTTTGCAAAGGAAAACGAATTGTCAATTAACAGTTTAGATGACTTCACGAAATTGGGTGAAAAGGAACGTAAACCCGAATTCATGGTCGCGTTAAATTCTTGTTTTCTTTCAGAATATGAGAAAGTAAAACAAAACACTTCTTCTGAGTTAAACATGGAAATAACAAGATTTAATGAGTAGAAAAGGAATAATCAACAAATAATAATAAATTTGCAAGCTGTCAACAACGAACAAATAGAATGTGAAAAGCAAATCATTTTAAATTATTGCAAATTTCAAAGGAGAAAGGTGGACGGTAAAAAGGAATTGTTCAAAAATGAAAACTCGAAAATTCTGGCGGCGGAAATACAAAATTCGAGGGAACAAAGGGCAATCCAATTAAAAAAAAACTTTCATCACAACTCACAATGTGACCTCGTTTTTGGTTTTCAGCCAAATGAGCGAGAGTGATCTTGCATTGTTTCCATTGTTGTTGGATTATTCACAAAAAGTTGAAGCTTTAAATGTAACATCGTGTACTGTCGAAAGATCATTTTCTCGACTGAAAAATATTTTGAAAAGCAACATGAACGACAAAACAATAAATGCTCTGTTTGATGTCA